TAGTCACCAGTGAACACTGAATTACTTATCAAGTGTTGTCCCATACTCCCTTGTTCCAAGTGATTTTCTCACTGAAGACAGTTTGTTATCAATCTTGAAATCAATGGAATCTCTGAAAATCGGCACCTTTAAATTAGGAGGGGAAGTTGGAAAATGATTGCAGGCATTAAATTGACTACGTTACGTAAGAGTTACCTAATTTATTTCAGTAGAAGTCAAAGGAGAATCAAATCAACAATATGGATAAAAAAATAAACGTAGAAATTTAATTCAACTGAAATACACCGAGAATATTCATCCAGACATTTAGAAGACAAAAGAAAATTTCAGCAAAGAATTTTTTTCTCGATAATATCCTCTTCTTGCTCTACATTTATATAAACGTATATTTATAAACCCAGAATATTTTAGAATTGTTGTTGTTTTTAAATATCATCGATTTGTTAAGACTGCAATGGAATTACCACAGTTAAAGAATAATGAATAATTTATGATAAGCATAAAAATGCAACAGCAAATAGAATATCAAATGAAATTTCCACAATGAAATATAGATCATTAAAACCTTGATGGCCACTGTAAGGACAGTGTTTAAACCAACTTCTTTTAGATAAATAAGTTAAGTTTCTCAATGCGGATTCCAACTGCCTCAGCAACATGCAGTAGACGAACTCTTAAGGTAAAATTAAGATTAGTTGGTATGCATTAGACGACTCTGAAAGCCTTGTTAACATCAATCTTGTGTTCTGTATCCACGAGATGAGATAGAATAGAGCTATGAATGAATTTTGTTTCTCCCTTACTTAACCAACCCCTATGCAGGATGGTGTTTGGAAATCCTACGATAAACAAGCCTGATTGTACGACCTATGTAACTGGCTTCACAGGAGCATTCATATTGGTAGATATATATAGATGAGGAGAAATTAGGCAGTTTATCCGTAACTCCCGGAAGGGAAATATGGGTGGTTTTAAAGACACAGAATAGTTCAGCTCTTTTTGCCGCCGTATTCCTTAGGCGTTGTGTTAATATCTTTCTGATGTTATCCCCGAGGAACTGAAGTTGCAAGAATAAAGCCTTCCTTCTTCGGAAGTGGTGGCATTTCGGCCTGCCTTGACTTTTGATTCATATTCTTACCGATGAATTTTTCTGGATAACCGTTTTCACTCAGCAACTGTTTAGTAATATTCCGGTCTTCATTAAGACATTCATCAGAGCAGATTGCTTTTGTTCTGTGGACTAAGCACTTTATTAGATTGCATTGGTATTTCGAAGGCACGAAGCTGAAAAAATGAGTATACTGACAGTCTGTTGATGTAGGTTTTCTACTTACACTTCTTCTCATTGTGCCGTCCTCTTTTCTAGTCATAAGAACATCTAGGAATGAAATACTTTCTCAATGGTAAAATTGGTGTTAGGATAAACATCGTTAAATTTATCCAGGATGTTCTTTGCTTTATCCTCATTTTTGATAATCAAAAATGTAACATCCATGTACCAAGAGTAGAATTCTGGTTCATCAATCACAGCTTTCAAAGGCCCATTCTCCAGTTTAGAAAGGAAAATGTCGGCTAGAATAGGTCGCAGTGGCTATCCCATTGTTACACCATCCATTTATTTGTATAGTTCCTTATTAAATAAAAGTAAACTTTCAGTGTGCATTTCAAAAGAATCTTTTTTATGGTAGATAGAGTAATTCCGACATCGTTATTTCGTCCTCTGAACTCTTCGCACACAAAGTCTACTGTTTCCATAAGTGGTACAGTGGTGAATAAGGAAGATATGTCAAGTGATATCATGAATTTATTGTCAACATGTAAATCTTTTCTCCTTCCAACAAATCCAAAGGTGTCTTTACGCTGTGTTCCACCAATTTCTTATGTAGAGCCTGTAGAAGTTTAACAAACCATTTTTCTATGGAATGGTATGGTGAATTTAACATGTCTGGTACTGGTTGAAGAGGTGCACTTTTGGCGAACCAAATCATCTTGGTTTATCGTCCCAGTGGGTTTCGGTGATGTACACTGACTTTGTGAGATAAACACTTAGAAAATCAAAACAAATGATTCAGCGAAGAGACTCAATCAACGAATTTATCATCAAGCTGTACAATCGTATATATATGGTTTTTAAGAAGTTATATCCGGTGAGGGAATTGAAACATAGGTGTGAATGCATGAAATAATAATAATATGAAGTGTAATTAAAACTAAAATGTTTGTGATTATAATCGTGTCAAGTGGCAAAGCAAATTAATGTCATATATAGAATAATTCATCTTGAGGAAATTCCTAATAGAAAATGGATTTCCACCACGTTTTATAGATAAGAATATTCATTCAAATCCTAAAAACGTGAGTTATCAACCATACCCGAGAAGATGCTTTACATGAGCTTGGAATTCAAAGGGGACTTAGCTTCCGATATCATGAAACGGAGGATATCACAATCCCTGAAAAGAACATTCCCTGCTGCATCCCTGAGAATAGCCTTTTCTAGTCGACCATTATTGTTCAATAACCTGAAGGATAAGATCCCGCTGTTGACCAACTCTATGTGTGTTTATCAATTCACCTGCTCGTGTGGAGCTAGGTATATCGGTCGTTCGACACGAGTTTTGTCCAAGAGGGTGCAAGAACACTATCCTGCATGGTTACGAAAAGGTGGTAGTGGAGCAATAAGAAGCGCGATCATTGAACATCTGGTCGATAATGATCACCCTATCTCTATAGCCTCCGCCTTCAAAGTCATCTACAAGGCAAAGAGTAATCTACCCAAATCCCTACGTACCTGACTCATCTGTATTGCTGAAGCTTTGGCTATCGAAACAGAAAAGCCAGATCTCTGTGTACAGAAAAAGTTCGTTCAACCCCTCCAACTTTCATGGTCTTAATCCCCCTATGCTAAAGTATGCTAATCCCCAATCATATTTTAGCTCTACCAATTCTTCATTTTTTCATTTTTGTCTATTCAATTTGTATACTCTTCCTTATTAAGTCAATTGTTACTATTACTACTCTCACTTTTAATTGTCCCCGGTATTATTTCACTTGTTCCACTTGTCATTCTAAATCAATTCCTTTATGCAACATTAAATCCTATGCTATTAAATTTCACACAATATTACGTAACGTTTTTATTTTTTCGATTTGTCTACTAATCTTATAATTGCACACCCTTTTCAAATTCTATCCATCCTATGAATTATTCTATATATGACATTAATTTGCTTTGCCACTTGACACGATTATAATCACAAACATTTTAGTTTTAATTACACTTCATATTATTATTATTTCATGCATTCACACCTATGTTTCAATTCCCTCACCGGATATAACTTCTTAAAAACCATATATATACGATTGTACAGCTTGATGATAAATTCGTTGATTGAGTCTCTTCGCTGAATCATTTGTTTTGATTTTCTATATGTTACAATGTGAATTTTCCATGAGATAAACACTTGTTGTTTCAGTCTTCTCAATGTCTCAGGTAACTGTTTGTCTATCTTTTCAATCTGATCCCGAGAAGATGAGATAATTTGGAATGTTAGACTGTGATTAAGAATGGTATTCAACTTCTTGAATTAATCCGTTTTTGTTCATGATAACCACTGCTGGAACTTTATCAGGTCATGTTATTACTATGTTATCATTTTTCTGCAGAATATCTAGGGCTTGCTTATGTTTTTTGGTTCAGATATTTGTACGAGTTGTGTTTACTATTCATATAATCATAGCAACAATGGACCACAGTTAAGTCTTTCAACAAGTTCAGCTGATGAGGGCATTAATCCTTCGATTTGAGTATAGAAGCTTTCAAACTGAACTTGTGAATCCAAAACGCAAAAATTAAAACAAAAGGACTGAGTGAAGAAATATTTACTCTTCAATTAGATCCTCATATCTGGCTCTACTCAAATATATATATATATATGAGATGAATGTTCATTGAAGGCACTGGCCGATAATAGCACAATATGACGAATTGATAGAAGCTAGAAATCAGGCGTCACTGAATTCCAGACAATAGTAACTGAATGGTAAAACATCTTGGCATCATAACCCTAGGTCTTGAGTGCACATTTTTGGACAGTCCCACTCCGGACGAAACAACCCCTCAGTTCTCCCTGATTTTTTACTGATCTCGAAATGATGTTGGATCGTGACGATGAAAATAAAAACAAACGGAATGCGAACAAAATGACTTTTCAACTCATACTGCTTTGTGAAATTCCTTTAACATCTGGTAAACATGCTTCCTTTCCTTACTATAAAATCTAAAGAAAACAAAATCACAACCCATGGAATAGAACAAATCAAATTAAATCTTATCACCACAAATAATCTCATTCAAACGATGGGGTAAAAACAGCCTAGGAAATACACTTTTTTGCTTCCCAATGTTTCTAGACAAAAATTTATTGATGAAAATTACACGTCTTTTTTCCCACATTGTGTCAATAGGATCAAACATAATAAAATACGAAGGTATGCACACATATTTATTTTTTTTGCTCCTTAAAGATGGTGATCATTTCTATGGTAAGTATACGATCTCATAAGTATACAGTGTTTTCCCAGTAAAAGTTAAAATGAAGCAATAATCAGACTGTTGGATTTAAACACACGTACATTTATACAAAGTCAGATTGTACTAAAACAGAAAATAAGTCATGTGATTGATTGCATGCTGTGATCTTTATGAGAATGTCGGAACGGTAACAACACTAACAGCATTTGCCAATGTCTATGATTTACGAAGCATTCAGTACACTCAGTCTATGCGTGTGTGTGTATGTATATGTGCGTAGCTTAACAACAGATCACACATACAAAGCGTCCTGGATTTTCATAAATAGATTAAAAATGTCACTTATACGAAAGTGCAAACATACGTGTCTGTCTATCTACTTTTGCATGTAATTATATCCAATGCTCCTTTTTTCTGTAAATAAGAAAAAAGACACACCAAATCCAATTGAACACTACTTCTGTGTCTCTATCTATCTGCCTATCCTAACAACGTGCCTTATTCCTTACATGAAACATCGAAACATCATAGATAGACGCACAAACATGATTTGTTTCATTTAATCATATCACACACACACACACATAGACTGTCTGCTAACGCCCGATCTTCTGATATTAGTGGGCAAAACATTGGAGAATAATAAGTAACAACAATAATAATTACAGGTACATCTGTGGAACAATTATTATACCGTCACGTTTCTGTTTCATCATGTACAAATAGAACAGTAATAAGCGTGATAACCAAAGCGAAACAGGAATTGTTTTAATGTCTATATCCAAAACACATCTGTAAATAAAACAAATATTAAATACATGTATGTGAGTTGAAAATATGCTCAAGCTGGTTACCGGAGGATATTCATTGGGAGATTTAGTATCACTGTCTTACTGTAATATCTTATGAAGTTAAATCCATCTACAGAACACCTACTTTACACATCAAACGTAAAAATTCACGCAAAACTAAACTAATCACAAAATTATTTGAAAAATTCTCATTAAAAACATTCTGTGTACATATATCATCAAAAGGAATTGAAATTGTTGAATATATATTGTGTTGCAAACTAAATGTCGGGTGATACAGAGGCTACATTTATTCTATCCTTAGACGATGATGATTCAACAATAGAAGCACAAATCAATGCTACAAAAACAACAGACGAGACAACAGTTGAATTTTCTATATCAATTACTGATGATGCTGTTGAAGCGAAAGGTGAAACAATGTCACTGGAGGAACAATTAGCGTGGTGTAAGTTGTTGCTGTATTTGCTTATAGATGAATTGATGCTTAAGTGTATGTATGTGTGTACGTATCTCAAAGTCTGTCAAAGTGAATATTGTATCTACATCAGTTTTCGAGTTTATACCTGGGGCATGATGTCACTCAAAGATCGCCTTAACGTATGTCGCCTAGATTAATAGCTGTCGTAAACCTGAAGAAAATAGCAAGGTTTGACGTGAGGCTATCGATCCTATCCGGATAAATCAAGCCAATCGCTACAGAAACATCAGAGCACATAAAAGATGTCTCTATGATCACTTCATTATTCATCCCACTTACAGTGATGTCAATGAACCAGCTAATACCGATCACTATGTTAAGTTAGGTTTATGATGACTTAAAATCACTGAAAATATGATGTCAAGTTACTCACTGAAGTAAATCATCCACTCAACCAAGTTAAGTTAGAAGAAAGGCATTCTAATGGAGACTTCGTCGCAAAACAACGTCCTCGATTGACCGTAATCTCTCATCTCCTCCTTGCACTGACGACTCACTCATCGATTCCCATCGGGGTTCCACTCGAGCAACGGCCTGCATTGGGAGCGACGTCATTCGATGGCCTTCTCAATGTATGCCCAATCCATTTCCATTTTCTCCTACATATTTGTTGAGCGATTGGTTCTTGGTTGGTTTGTTCCCACAGTTTCTTGTTAATTATTCTTTCTGGTCAGCCATTTGATCTTCAGTATGGAGCGAAGGCAGCTGTTAATGGAAGTCTATACTGGCCTGTTGAAAATACTTTTCATGACACGCAGTGCAAGTTTCTGACCCGTATACAAGGACCAACTTGACATTGGTGTTGAAAATCCGAATTTTCTTCCTTATGCTGAGTGCAGAAGATCTCCAAACTTGTTTCAAATTGATGGAGGACTATCTTGTCTTTCCGATTTTGGCTGCCTTTGACAGCTTCATCCGTTCCGCCTGTCGTTAAAACCGTGCTTCCTATGTAAGTGAAGGAAGTAACCTCTGTTAAATCTCTCCCGTTGATGATGGTTGGTGCTGTTGGTTGGTTTTCTTCATCACCTCCGTCTTCTCTATGTTCACTTGCAGTCCTGTCTTCGCCGGCTGCTTCTTCAGCCAGTTTGTTGGTTTTCACATGCAAGTCTTCCATTTGTGTGACATTAAACATAAATCACCTGCGAAATCCAGATCTTCTACAGTCTTCTTATCGGTCCAACGAATTCCTGTCTTCTTACTCCTCACAGTCTGACACATAATCTATCACAATTAAGAACGTTATTGGTGACAGTAGGCAGCCTTATCTTACTCCTGTATTAACTTCGAACGCCTCACTGAGATTTCCGCTGTGGATCACCTGACACGTGCCACTGTCATGTAGACAACTGTTGAATGAGGTCGATGAAGACTTGAGGCACGCAGTAATGTTGAAGCAGTTTCCAAATTACTTCTCAATCAACGCTACCGAAGGCCTTTTCGAAGGAGATGAAGTTAAGGTAGGGGTTTGACTGCCACTCTATGCTTTGTTCTGCAATGACGATGCGTGGAGTTGCAATATGATCAGCACATGATTTGCCTTTCCTGAATCCAGCTTGTTCTGGCGGGCGGAGTTCTGCACCCAGTGCATCTTTTATTCTCTCCAGGATGACGTGAATCAGTATTTGACTTGGCGTGGACGAGAGCATTATTTCACGCGAGTTCTTGCAGAGGCCTAAGTGGCTCTTCTTTGGCAGCTTGACAAGGTAGCCTTCCTTTCAATCATTAGGCACCTTTCCATCTTTCCAAACCTTTTGCAGTAATGGCGTGAGAACATCTGCCGAAGTCTCTGGGTCCGTCTTCAGTGGTTCGATGGAATTCCATCTGATCCTGCTGCATTCCCGCCCAGTGTTCAGCTGCTTGATTGCATTCAGGATTTCTTCTTTCTTTGGGGCATTGGTATCCACTGACAGGCAGTACTGCGCGTGCTGTTGCTAGTAGTGCATTTCTGCGTGAGTTGCAGGTGGTAGTCGATTCAGGAGCCCTTTGAAGGGATCAGTCCATTGTTTCATCCGTTTCTCTACCTTGGTATTCAGGTTCCCTTGAGCATCTTTTATTGGTTTAATCATCTGGGTTGATCTCTTCCCAGATAGAGACTTGGTTATCTGATATAATGTTCAGAGGTCTCTTTCACCTGCGGTCTGCTCTGCTTCTTTGGTTGGCCAGTGTGTCATAGAATTGTCTTTTCTATTTTATAGCACTCTTCTTCACTTCTTTATTCAGTGCAGTGTACACTGAACTCAGCTTCTCCTTCTGTTGTGCATCTTTGTCTTGAGTCATCACCATTCTGTTTCATCCTCCTCCCCTCCTCTCTTCAGTTAGCTTCCAGGTAGGCGTCCGTTGAGATCCATTCCTTGTTTTGTCTCTTCTTTCTTCCTAGAACAGTTGTACACGTTTCTTTGAACATCACCTTCAGAGAGCCAGTTCCAATATTCTTCCACGCAGGCTTCCTCAGTGATACCACGTGGTGTCTCCGACTTCGCTCTGATCTGATCAGTTTCTGAATGTTGAAATTGAATTACAGCAGCCTGTCTGCAGTTGTTCTGAGGGTCTCAGCTTCACCTTGAGAGTTCCTTGAACTAGATGATGGTCTGAGCCCACACCTGCTCCCCTTCTTGACTTTGTGTTCAGCAGGCTATCTGTGTCTCCTCATTCTTGAGCAGTATTGAGATGAAGTCTATCTGGTTTGTGGTGTGTTTGTCAGATGAAATCCATGTTGCTTTGTGTGTATCCATGCGTTTGTACACGCTCCCTCCGATTACCGAATCATTGAAAGCTCAGAAGTCTGCGAATAATTCTCCGTTCTCATTCATTTCGCCTAGCCAGAGACTCTTGACCCATGATGAGCTCAATTCTTGTATTATCTGCTCCCAGTTCGGCTTAAATTCATATCGCCCATGAGGATTTTTATTTCACCATTCGGGATGTTGTCCACTACTGTTTGTAGTTATCTGTAAAGATCTTCCTTCTTCTCTTGTTCCGCGTAATTTGTAGCACTGTGCGTAGCATTGGATAATTGTGACCTTCCTTCCTTTATTTTGGGTTGGATGTTGCTGTCATGATCCTTCAGGAGGAGATTGGTTTCCACTGCATTAGGGCTTTGGCTGCCACTAATGACATCATTGTAGCCACTCACTACCTCAGTGTTCTGGTGGTTGTCGTCTGAGTAGCCAGAGTAGATTAATGACTCTCCAGGTGACAATATGAATAATCCACATCCGCTCCATCTGCTTTCGCAGATACCCAAAACTTCTATGCGAAATCTTCTCATTTCTTTTTCTACCTGAGCAGCCTCCCCAGCCTAGCATATTGTATGGATATTCCACGTCCCCACTCCTGTGAGGTCAACTACATAGGTCAAACTAGCAGATCAGGAGTTATGAGATTATCAGAACATAGGAATTTAGCTAAGGTTACAATGATTGATCCCACGAAGATAAGTAATTTAGAAAAAGAAAACTCAGCAATAGCACTACATGCATTAACACACAACCACACAATAGGGTGTATGGGACAGAGTCAAAATTACAAAAATTAATACAGCTAGGTGGAGAGAGAGACTGATTGCTGAATCCCGGTTCATCGAGTCTAAACCCAACACATGCAATAGAAGGGACTCAACACAAATACCATAGGTATGGAAGATATTATTATCAGTCAAATCCGAGAATAATAAATAGGGTTAAAATGTATTCAATTCATACTAGAACATTCTACTTATTTTTGCATCATATTTACCATCTGATTGTATTTCCTTGATAACACTTATATTGTTTCTGAATCTATATTATCTTATATTGGTTTTTTATTCAAATGTCTAATCAATTTCACTCATGTATATAAATGAAGTAAAAAGTTGTGTGAGTAACTTGATATGATTATGAGCAATAGTTTGTGCTCGAAACGTCATCAGTTAATATTACTGTGTAACACTGTGTGATTTATCAAAATAAAATCTTATCCATAATGGAGTTACACTCTACCACAGTGCCCAAGTTGTATACTAATATGAATAACAGTCAGGCTGATTAAAATACATTCACTTAGATAAAACGTGGCTTCCATAAATAAATTTTCTGACTTTTGGTTTGAGTCATGTAGGAAGGCGTAGACTGCCTGGCTGCATTCCTCGAGACGCTATAAACCAATGGCTAGTGGAATGGTTCACAATCAATCTCAGAGTACTTGTCAATTCACTGTTTTTAATCTCATACATTCAACAAATCTTCATTATTCTGCATTCAGTAATTGTTTCATTATATTTCCTTTCTAGTAATTTTTCCCTGTACATTTATACATGCTTTTATGAACTGTGACTATTTTTGAACTGTGGAACTTTTGTGTAAGGTTCTACATTGGAAATTCATTTTCAGTTCGCATCATGATTTGTAGCTCAGGTGAATGTGTCCTTGGTGTTGTAGATTTTTAAAAAATTTTTTTTGATAACAACTTGATTCCACACCGTATTTTCTGGCACATGTATGGAATTTTCAGCGTGTGATATCGGTAGCCCGAATTTCGCAGGCCGACCATAGATATCAGGTGTGCGTCGGCAGGGGATCGAACCCCGGACCATGTGCATGATCGGCGAGAGTCATAATGGCTGTGCCACTGACGTTTTGTACAAAGCATTTACTTGATGTAAAGGTTTCTGATCATAGTTCCAATGTATAAAAAAGCAGTGAGTGGAGATTCGGAAATGTGAAGTTTGGAATCAATTATTAACCATGAATTTGAATGTTTTACAATTCAGTATGCACATACGTTGACAATATAAACAAACTAACTGACAGTTTAGGATACATGTTTTTGTATAGTTTCTCTATGTTACATTTGCTTGTCATCAGATCATCAATACACTGTACATTATGACTGCTGATATGATCAACATTACAGAAATGAACATGAAAACAATTTATTATCCACAGCTGCATGCAGTGAAGCTCATATGACAAAGTAAAATGTATTAT